ACTGACCTGCTAAGGATATGGAGGAGGTTGCTTATAGAGAGGAAAAGGTGGGCTCATATATGCATAGTGTCCTGCTGGCTAACTGCAGACTTTCTTAGTCATGAGTAGATGAGGGAAGGGGGAGAGGGGAAGGAAAAAGGATTAAGTAAAAAGGATTAAGATGCAATAGTTATCACTCTCCATGATGAATGTATTCATTATTTATCAAAAATATGTATTTTTGGGCCAGGGATTTAGCTCAGTGGTTTCGCCACCTGCTGCTCAAGTGCAAGGACCCAAGTTCAATCCCCGGTACCAAAATAAAAAAAAAATTTTTTTTTTAAAAAGTAGATGAGAGGCTCCTTGTGGACCAGATTGAGGACAGCCACAGAGGGTTGGAGTCATTTAGGCAGAACTGTGCCCAACGCTTGCTGCATCCAAAACAAATGTCTCCCAGAGTAGTCATGAGTGTCTGTAGCTGGCCATAAGGCACTCAAGGCAGTCAGAGAAAAATAAAAAATTCTTTGGGAGCATCAAGCTCTTCTCTCCTGTCTCTTCAGCAGCACATAGTGAAGCAAAACTGCTCATCTCATGGCTGAAAAGTGAAAAAAATGGGAGTGGGGTCCCACAGTGCCCTTTGAGGGCAAACTCCCCCACCCCTGTCATGACCCAAGACTTTCTATTGGATCCCAACTCTTAAAGTTTCTACCAGTTCCATGCCAGGGACCATGTCTTAAACACACAGACCACTGGGGGACACTTAAGATTCAAACCACAGTGACAGGGTTGGGAGTATCTGCAAGGAAAGAGGCAGCTTGGGTTGGCAGAGAAGGTGGTCTCTGGACCAAGACCACAGAAACATGGGAATAACTTCAAAAATCTTTGTGCTTTGACTCCTTGGCTTGGTCCTGGTATGCTTTATCCAGCCTTGTCTCCAACCTACCCCTATGCTCTGGGCACAGCGACCTCTGCCCTTCCCCTGGTCCAACTCTCTTCTTCCCTCACTCCTCCCTTGCAAGCCACAAGACCCCCCTTCAGGTACATCCCCCCTAGGGTCCCTGATTCCGCCCCTTTCTGGAGTTCCAGGATTCGAGAATATTTCTCCTCCTGCTTCCCTCAGTTTATCTCAGTTCTTAATCCCTGGTACCTGGTACAAGGCCCAGAACAAGGCAAACTTCACATAAGTATTTTTTGGTTAAATTTCCATAGGTATGTGACTCTATCACATCAAGATTTGGACTTAGGAAAGGAACATCAAGTCCTGGTGCCACCACTTAGAGGTTGGACAAGTTACTTCTCTCAAACCTCAGTTTCCCTGTCAATTGGAGAAGGGAGGTATTACATATACATATGTCACTGTGCTTTGGATCCCCAGGATGGTACTGGTGGAAGCTTCAAGAGGTGGGACCTCAGTGGGAAGTCTTAGGTCAATATAGTTGCGTGCGTGCGTGCGTGCGTGCGTGCGTGTGTGTGTTAAGAAAAAAACCCTTGCTTTAAAGTCAAGCAAGGGGCATGAACTGGAACTCTGGCTTGTAATTCCAAGGATGGCCACCTGGAGGAAGTGGTGAGCAGCCTTGGGGGGACTGGCTCCGAGAAGCTAAGGCTCCTGCTGAGGCCCCAGATGGTAGGGCTGGGGTTTCCGGGCTTCCCGGTCTTTGAACAGGTGGGCGCTGGCCAGGGCGCAGTGGGAGGAGCCGCCGTGACGTGCTCAGTCCCTTTTCAATTTGGAAGACAGCCTGACGGGCTAGAGCCAGCGGAGTAATTTATCCCCTCCAGTTTATGATTTGTCTTCTACACTCTGTTATGGTCGTTTCTTCTGTATGGAAGTTTTTATAGTCAAACATCGATATTTTCTCTATGGTTTCTATGCTTCATCGTGCTTAGAAATCCTTTTCCAACCCAGAGGTGGGGTACACACCTGTAATCCCAGCACTTAGGGGGCAGAGAAAGAGAATTATGGGGCCAAGACTGGACTCCGTGGCAAGACTCTTGTCTTAAAAAAATAATAATAAAGTGTTGTTCATCTCTAGGATTGTCAGACCATTCGTTCATGTTTTCTTTTGGTTTATTATGGCGTTATTATTTAAATGTTGCTCCGGGGGGATCAAGATACGCTATATGTACCAATTCCCCAAACAAATGTAATTATTATATATAACAAACATGTACCAATAATAAAAAATGTTGCTCCACTTGGGATTTATTTAGCTGTAGATGAGGATATAGCTTTCTTTTATGTCCCTAAATGACCTGCTGGTTATTGGAAGGCCTGTCTTTCCTCCATTTATCTGAAGTCCAGTCTTCATCAAATAATGAATTCCCATGTGTTGCTGGTTCCATTTATTTTATTTTTCATTTTAACAAATTAATGAGGCCCAATATAATAATTTGATACATGTATAGAGTGTAATGATCAAATTAGGGTAGTTAACATTTCCTTTTTGAACTTAAATTTTTTTTTTCTCTATTGGGGATTTTTTTCTCTACCCAGTGCCTTCACACTGAGATACATCCCCAGCATCTCTTTTTTTTTTTTTGAGACAGGGTCTTGCCAAGGTGCTTGAACTTGCAATCCTCCTGCATCAGCCTCTCCAAGTGGTAGGATTACAGAAGTGTTCCACCATGCTTAGCTCTTATCAAAAATCTTTTTTGATTAATATATAATGATTGCACTTATTTAATATGGTGTGATCCTTCAGTACTTGTAAAATATGTACCAGCCAAATCAAAGTAATTAATGTTTCTGTCTCCTTATCATTACTGTGTGTTTGGGGCCTTCAAGTTCCTTTCTTCTAGTAATTCATAAGGTATATAGTAGGCTACTATGAACTACAGTCATGGGTAGTCTCTATTTCTCTCTCTGGACTGAGCTCAGGGCCTTGTGCACATTAGGCAAGTGTTCTGAGCTACATCCCCAGCCTGGGTCCATTTCTATGCTTGTTTCACTGATCTATCTAGTTCTGCTTCAACACCATATTGCTTTAACTACATCAACTTTATAGTATGTTGTTATATCAGGTAAGGCAAACTACTTTGTGAGTGTGTGTGTGTGTGTGTGTGTGATACTAGGGATTGAACCCAGGATCTTCACACTGAGCTTCATCCTCAGCCTTTTGTTTTTTTAATTTTGAGACAGATTCTTGCTAAGTTGCTTAGTTGCCCAGGCTGAGCTCAAACTTGTGATCCTCCTGCCTTGGCTTCCCAGAGTGCTGAGATTATAGGGTAAACCTTTTTTCATTACTTTCTTCTGAGATTTTAAAAATTCATGTACATGTTTTTCCTTCCATATGCATTAAGAACCAACCCCTATCCACCTCATCCTTCTGGAAGCCAATATGGAACTTTGAAGCACTTGATATTGTATGCAAAAATGACTATAACTTTTTTTTTTTTTTGGTACCGGGGATTGAACTTGGGTCCTTGTGCTTGTGCAGCAGGCAGCGAGCGAAACCACTGAGCTAAATCCCCGCCCCTTGTATGCAAAAATGTACATTTGCACATGTCTCTGAGGAGAAAGTCCAAGGTTCTCATCAGATGTGCAAAGGGAGCATCTGGTTTACCTATCTTTGAACAAAAGCAAGGCAAGGGCATAGAGGATGCTAGATCTTTTCTCCCCATTCTTTACCCTTCCATTATCCCAGATACTTCCTGGGCCCCCACCTCGCCTCCCCAAATGTACCCCACCACCACCAGCTCCAGAGCAATTGTTCACCACACAGGCCCTATTTCTAGGGCAAGGCCTGGAGTAGAACAGATAACATTTCAATTAATTAGTAAATAAAATCATGAGTACCAGCTTCACCTCTGACCAGCTATGAGACTCAGTTTAAGGCTCTCTGCATTTCCAGACCTCAGTTTACCCTTCTCACAGACTAGGTGAGAAAGAAAGAGATAGAATGAGGGGAGTGTGGAACAAACAGCTCGCTGTTGCCAGGAGGCCCTTTAATCCCAACAGTTTCCCTTGTTTCCTACCTTCCCAGTCCCCACACACATTTTAATTCATGCCCTTGGCAAGGAGCCTGCTTGCTTTACCAGCCTCCAGCAAATATTAATAATACTGTTCTCTCTGTGAATGAGTGAAATGAAGAATACTGGAGCCCAAGAGTGGAAATGATTAGTCCTAACCAAGCTTAAACCAGCAAGTGGGGAGTAGGCATGACCCGAAGTGAGACTTCATACAGTGTCCTCACGTTTCTAGCTGCTCAGGACTCATGTCATCCACTTAGGAGTTCGTTTAAGCAGTTGCTAAGTCCTAGAACAGGGTTCCTCAAAATATCGGTACCATTGACGTTTTGGGGCTTGATAGTTCTTTGGTGTCTGGCTGGCCGGTGCATTGGAAGAAGTCTTCCAGCGTCCAGGGTCTCTTCTCACTAGATGCCAGGACCCCGCCCCCCCCATCAAGTTGTGAACACCAAAAATGTCTCCAGACATTGTCAAATGTCTCCCAGGGGACAAAATTGGCTCAGGTTGAAAACTACTGCCCTAGGAGAAGGCGGGGGTTGACTTAGGTTACAAGGCGGAACACTCTATCCTTTTACTCTGTCCAGAAAGGACACTGTGAGGTCGTTTCCTTCACAGCAAACACTCGGACAAGTCTTTGCTTCTGAGTTTCCGTTTCTTCACCTGTAAAATGGACTTGGCGATTGCAAGTCGTTTCTCCTCCTCTCATCATCCGACGTTTGTGGATCTGGTCCAGGGTAGTGCACCAGGCACCGCGGTGCCAATGAGGCCCTGGGAGGTGCCTCAAAGAGAAGGATGGGAAAGAATAGATGCCAGGGGTAGTGATAGAGAGGGGTGGCCAGGCAGGCGGCAGGAGCGTCCTAGGGACAGAGATGAGGCTCGAGGAGTCCCCAGACCCGCTCCTTTGAGGGCCACTCCCTGCTCTCTAGAGGGTCACCCCCTTGAGGCCTGCTCTGCGTAGGTACAGTACCTCCAACCCCCCGCAAACGCTTTCCTTTTCCCAGGCTCCACCCCTTCCCATGGCCCCGCCCACCCACAGAGACCACGCCCACCAAGGCCCCGCCTCCCTCTTTGCCTCCCGCCAGCCGGGGCTGGGGCTTTGCACCCGGCGGCTGCTGAGCACCTTGGCGATTGCAGAGCCGGGAACGCACGCAAGTCGGAGGGGAGCTGCCCAGTCCAGTGGCTGGCGATGCCCCCGTGAGCCTCCCTCACCGCCCCTCCCCGCCCCGCGTCCCTAACCCCTCCGAGTCCGTGCCGCCCGCCCGGCCGCGCCTACCGCTGGGTCCGCGGGGCGGGGTCCTAGGGCAGCACCTGCCCCGCCTTGGGGAGCCGCCTCGGCCTGCGGAGCCCCCTCCGGATCTGGACGCCGGCCCCACCTCCCGGTAAGTCGGCAGGCCTTGCTCGCCTGGGAGTGGAAGTGGGGAGGGGGCTGTGGTGCGGGGAGCGCGGGGAGGGAGGGTTCCGGCTGCGAAACGCAACGTCGGCATCTGAGTGTGCCGGGCCGGGGGGGCGGGGGCTGGGGAAGCGCGCGCGGTGCGTGCGGGGCTCTGGGGCGGGGGCCAAGGTATGAGAGGGGGCGGGAGCTCGGGAAGCCTGGAGAATGGGGAAGGAGACCCCGAGACTTGAGTTCTTTGGTATTGCTCAGAGTACCTGGGGGCCTCGTCTTCAACAGCGTGGCCTCTCATGGCATTTTTGGAAAGTGCTTAAAATCCCTCCTGGAAAGAGAGCTGGAAGGCAGCCTGCCTTTCTCTCTCCTGCCTGTGCCCTGGTTGAGAAGCGGCCACTTTTTCCTCCCAGCATGACACCATTGTGGGCCCAGAGCATTCTCCACTCTATAAGAAAAAAAAAAAGATTGGGGGTGCTCATGGTGCTCAGGGGTGGGAAGAGGAGCGCTTTGCGGAAGCTGGGAAAGACAGTCACTGGTGTGGTGGGGAGCCCAGGGTTTAGGGAGGCTTGGCGGGACCCTTGGTGCACAACTTGGACACCCTGTCCTTCAGGCATGGTGTATCTTCCCTGGTTGGCCTCCTGGCTGCCTGGACCCCATGTCCCATCACCTTCTCTGGACAACCCAGCTCTGAGGAATAGGGGTTCTTCCCTGTATGCTGGGCCTGGAAGCTCAGCAAGGGCCCATAGCTTCTGTGGTCCTCGACTCGGGAGGGCAATGTCCTACCTAAGGCCAGAGAATGGGAGGACACTGTTTGACACTGCCCCCTGGGGACAGTTTGAAAGTGGCCCTTCAGGGTTCAGGAACCTGGATGAGTGTCACTGTCCAAACCTAGCCCCAGGGTGTTGCCTGGGTGTGCGGAGGGAGGCTACTATCCCTTCAGTCTTGGGCTCTACACATAATGACTTCTCTAGTCTGAGGTTCTTGGGTTGGGGCTGAACTGTAGGAGGAGGGGGTTTCTGGGTTGGGACTAGGCACTAAGAGGTTAACAAGCCATTCTCTTAGTTGCTGCCAGGCACCAATTAGTCTGCAATCATGCAGCTGCCAAGTGTCCCTAGGGGGATGTGGTCAGCCTAATGGGGCATTCTCTAGTTGGGTAAGGGCCTACCGGGGAGGTGGCCCATGCACCCTGTGCTTAAACCAAGCACCAGACCTTTTGGAGTTTGCTTAGGGTCCATAGACCCCTTTTCTGTTCTCTCTGTGTGCAGCTACCTGGCTTAGGCACTTCTTGGGGTTCTACACTTACAGGATATGAAGCCCTGAGTCAGTTATATTTGGCTTCAAACCCAGGCTCTGCCACTTTCTGGCTATGTGATATTAAAGAAATCACTTCCCCTCTCTGAGCTTCTTTCAGTAAACAGTCCTACCAAGTAGGAGTAAATTAAATGGTGGATTGGAGCTGCTAAGCCCAGTGCCTGGCAATCAGGAGAACCCAGAAGATATCTCCTGAATTCTCAAGCAACCCCCAGGCCAAATATTTGCTGGGGCAGATATGCAAGAGCCAGGTGCTAGGGACCATGGTCCCTTCTCTCGGGGCATGTGGTCTGTGTCACTGCCTTAGCTATTCTGTCTCCCTCCTTGCTCACCAACCCTTCTGGTCTCTGGACATTAATTAGATTTTATTCTGCCAAGCCCAGGGCTGAAGCTGCTACTCTCTGGACTCCTCCTCTCCATGCCCAGGTGCTGTGCTCAGTGGGGTTTGTCAGGGGTCTAGGTGATATCTGCAGCTACAATAGTGGCTGGCCCTTTAAAGAGGAAAGAAAACAATTATCTAGCCTGGGCATTGCATCAGCTGAAGCCTGGAGGGTCCCTGGGGAGAGGGGGGAAGACTAGTGGTTGATTTCATTAGTGCCATGTAAGAACTCTCACCTGAGTCTGCCCCACTCCCCAGCCACAGCCTTCTCCCCAAGCAACAGCAGCTCCAGGGCCTCCTCCCACCCTGGGAGCCCCACCTCGGAGGACTGTCTCTGCACCTCCACCCATGTTATGGGCCCAGGCAGAGGGGGTGTGGGAAGTGTCTCACGCACAGTCCTTTTGCTGACTGGCGGTGTCTCTGCTCCTGGCCTTCTGCTGACTTGGGGTGCAGGGTGCAGCTCCTATACTGGCATCTTGCTGACAATGAGGGTACCTCCCCCAGTACTGTTCGGCTGACCTGGGGATGTCTCTCCCACATTGGCATTTTTTTGACTCAGGGGCGGAGAGACGTTGACACTGGCCTCTCGCACTGACAGGGAGGCCATCTCCCACACTGGTGGACTGCTGACCTTCAAGAAGAGCTTCATGGTCTGGGGGTGTGGACTGAGGGCGTGGGTTAGAAACAAATGTTCTCTGGGTGGAGGCGAGCTGGCACTGGATGGTGAGTCACAGAGGTGTGAGGTCTGGGGCAGAGAAGAGACTAGACTTGGGCATCAGACAGACACATCCTCTGTCCTGTTTTCATCCTGTTGCCATTTCAGGGGGTGGCTTAAACTCCTGAGCCTCAGTCTCCTCTGGAAAATAGGATTAATTTGCATCCATAGCAGCCCACTCCATCTGAAAAGGGATTAGGAAATGAAATGCAGTAACCCGATGCACAGCCCCCACCCCATGGCTTGCAGGTAGAAGGTACTTAATGTACATTGGTTCTCCTCCCCATGCAAGGTTGGGCTCTTCACACTTGGAGCTCAAGATACCTGGACAAGAAACGAAGGGTCAGGGATGAGTGGTGAGAAAGGAGGAAGAATTCAGGGCCTTCTTGCCTCTTGCAGGGTACTGAGAATGCATCAAGCTCTATGAGCCAGTAGGTCCCTGCCTCAGAGTTGTCATTCTAGCAGGGTCACAACCCATAGAGCAGATAATTACACATGTGACAGGCATTGAAAGGAGGGACTTGGAGAGGCTCCGAATCCATCACCTGTCCTCTGGGGTCTGGAAAGGGATCTTGGAGAAAGTGACACTTTAGCTGAGGCATGAAGGATACCAAGGAGTTGAGGAAGCAAAGAGATGAGGATGAAGAAGGGGAATCATGTGTCTAGGGCCTGATGTCATGGGGAGGGAAGGTGTGAGCAGCCCCAGGGACAGCTGGGTCAGACCTCCTTGATCTAGCAGGATAATTACTGAAGAGGTGGGAATTTCTTCAAAGGTCATCCTCTAAAGGATTTTAAGCAGAGAAAATAGGGTCAGATTTCCAGAAAGTTGGATAGGGTCTGTGGATTTCAGGCAGAGCCTTTGTACAGTGACCTTTTGACTTCTCCTGCCTTCTCCCTGTGTAGCAGCAGCTTTGGTACCCAGGGAGTGGTTGTTTATGTGGCTTGTCCCAGGAGGAAGGGGGCCAGTCCCAGTTCCTCCAGCTCCCTCTCTCTGAGCTAAACTCCATCTCAGCCTTGTTGACAAAGCTTAGCCCCTTTGGGGCCAAGTTTTCTCAGTCTCCCTGGGGAGCCAGAAGGCAAGAGACAGGGATTTGGCACCAGGTTGGTCTGTGTTCACATCCCAACTCTGCAGTTTATGAGCAAGGCACACCCCACCTCTGAACTTCAATGTCCTCTACTATGTAAATGGGTTAATATTAACCTCTCTGTAAGAAGGATAAAGTGGGGGCCGGGGATTTAGCTCAGTGGTTCCACTGCCTGCCTCGCAAGTGCAAGGTCCCGAGTTCGATCCCCAGTACCAAAAAAAAAAAAAAAAAAGAAGGATAAAGTGAAATTCTAGGTGGAAATCACAAAGCCTGATTTCAGTGTCAGTTGGTTTTTTACTTTATTGCATGGATGCTAATTCTTACCCTGGACCAGGTGCAGGGTTGGCTGGGGTTGGGAGCAGAGTGGGTTTCAAGAGTTCATGGACTTAGAAGGAAGGACTCTGTATTTGGTTTAATTATCTGTTGTCTCCATCTTGAAAATCTTAATAGTTTTGAACAAGAGATCCTATGTTTTCTTTTAGCACTGGCCCTTTCATATACAAAGCCCACAAATCACTGAGGGGTGGGAAGAGGCAGGGAAAGACAGACCTGCAAGTAATTCCCCACTGGAGTACGTAAATAGTGGAGGCCCTGACTAACTGCCCAAGGGGTGGGTGGGAGGTTAATCATAGTAATGCTTATTTAATGCTTATGGTCTGCTCCTTCTCTGCTAAACACTCTCCATGCTCATCTTCAAGCAGCCCTATGAGTTAGGTACAATTATTGTCTCTATGGAATAGATATAAAGAAAGAGGTCTTTGGCCAAAGTCACCCAGTTTTCAAGTGGCAGAGCTTGGGATTCCAAGTCAGATTGTCCAGCTACAGAGCACAGGCCTGGGCCAGGAAAGTCTTCACCCAGGAGAAGGAGCTCTCTGAGCTGGCCCTGAAGGAGAACTTGGCTTTGCTCAAGGGGAAAAAGGTACACAGGAAAAGGAGGGCACCCTCAGCTGAGAAGTGTCTGCTGAGCGTGTCCTGCTTACCATGAGATGGAGAACCAAAGCCAGAAGCTTCCAGGAGCTGAGAGGAGGTAAGCTTTGGGTTTCATGGCTCTGAGTCTCTAAGCTCAGGGCCCCTGGTCACTCTGCCACAGGTTCTGCAGTTCCAAGATTCCTCAGAACTGTTCTGCCTTCTCTTTTCTCTCCATTATCCCCTCCTTTGCCACCCCTCGGGTCATCTCATTTGCTAGCCTAACTTTAATGATCTCTTCTGGGTTCAGGGTCTGCAGCATCTCACTGCTTTCTGGACATAGACAATCAGCCTCAGGCCCAAACCCAAGTCCCCAGCTCTCCCCACCCACACCTGCTCTGCTTCCAGGGTCTCCAGCTCATCACTGGCACCATCATCCACCCACTTGCTCAAGCTGGAAGCTAGAAATTCTCCTGGACTCTTCCCCTTCCTCGCCCCCACATCCCACAGCCGAGCCTCAGCAAGTCTTGTCAGTTTCCCTGAATACCTCTGAGTTCGTGGACCTTCTTCCTGCTCACGGCCCCTTCTAGACCACCATC